AATAAGCGTATGAAAGGATGCTCCACATCATACGTCATCAGGGAACTGCAAATTAAAACAACAGTGAGGTACCACCACCTGCCTATTGCAATGCCTCAAACCCAGAACACTCACCACATCAAATACTGGTGGGGATATGCAGCAACTGGAACTCTCATTCCCGGCTAGTGGGAATGCAAAGTGTCACTTTCAAAGACAGTTTCTTACGAAACTAAACACACTCTTACCCTACAATCCACCCATTTCTCTCCTTGATATGTACCCAAATGAGTTGAAAACTCGAAGTCCACCCAAAAATCTGCACCTGGATGTCTATAGCAGCTTTATTCACAATTGCTAAAACCTGGAGGAAACCAAGATGTCCTTCAGTAGGAGAATAGATGAATAAATTGCAGTCCATCCAAACAATGCATTATTATTCAGCACTAAAAAGAAATGAGCTATTAAGCCATGACAAACCATGAAAGAAACTTAAGTGCAAACTTAAGTGAAGAAGCCAATCTGAAAAGGCTGGATACTGTCTGATCCCAATGATACAACGTTCTGGAAAAGATGAAAACATGGAGACAATAAAAAGATCAGTGGATGCCAGGGGTTAGCAGGGAGTGGGGAATGAATCGGCGGAGCACAGAGGATTTTTAGGGCAGGGAAAACATGTCTGATACTGCATGATATTATAATGGTGGATACGTCATTATACATTTGTGCAGTCCCGTAGAAGGTACAACGCAAAGAGTGAACTCTAATGTGAACTCTAGACTTAGGGTGATGGTGTGTCAATGTGTTCACTGATTGTAAATATGCACCACTCTGGTGGGTGATGTTAACAGTGGGGAAAGCTGTGCATGTGTATGGGGACAGGGGGCATGTGAAAAATCTCTGTATTTTCGGCTCATTTTTGCTGTGAACCTAAAAATGCTCTAAAATAAAGTCTATTCAAAACAAACAAGCAAAAAACAAACAAACAAACAAACAAACAAACAAACAAACAATACCCCCCAAACCCCCACTCTAGCTGTGGGTGGAATGGAGAGGAAAGAGATAAGAGGAGAGACAGGGTGGGGGTGACCGGTTAACTCAGTTGGTTAGAGCATGGTGCTGATAACACCAAGGTTGCTGGTTCGATCCCCGCATGGGCCACTGTGAGCTGTGCCCTCCTTGAGAGAGTCAACTATGCCATTGTAGCATGAAAGCAATGTGTAACCAATGACCGTGGCTGTTCCCCAGTAAAGTTTAAAAAAAAAAAAAAAGAGGAGAGGCAGGGAGAAGCCTCTAGAGAAAGTGGTTGGAATCTCGGGCCCAGGAACATCCATGGGATTTAGGGGTTCCTTGGACAGTGGGAGGGGAAGATGAGGAAGAGGAGGGAGTCTAGCCAGCATGCGGAAGCTTCTGGCTTAACTAGACACCTGGGGCTGTGATCAGATACGTGGCGAATTCCTGCCAGTCTTCTCAGCAGTGCCCCCGGGCCACTCCTCTGTTTGCACCAGAAGACAGAGAGACAAGGAATGGGGGAAAGGAAGAGACTTTTGTAACCAAGACAAGAGAAGTAACACTTCACTCGTATTTCAAAAGCAACCTGTTCATTCATCATGTTTCTGTATCGACGAAGACCTGTTCTATTTTGTGTAGTTTCTTTGCGTATGAGATAACGCGATGAGAAACAATACACAGAAAACTCGGCCTGAACTGGTTTAGTTGCAGACCAAGTCTTGTTGGGAAGAGAAGGCCCACTCTAAACCTGGAAGTGACACTCATGTTGAGAAGGGGCAGAGCAGGAGCAAACAGAGAGGAGGGGAGAGACAACCACCGCATGCGGATGGGGGGGGGGGGGGGGGGACACAACCGCCCCGCCCCCATCGCCGGATCAGTGTACTCAGTGGCCACTGGCTCCTGGCAACAAGCATCAGTAACATCTGTTATTTGTGATCTCTGCCCCCTTCTTTTGGCAACAGCACACTCCTTGTGACTCATCCCTGTATGGCTCCTGGTTTTCTCCACTCCGTCCCCCATCCGTCCTCCACCCTGCTCTGCCCAGCTCAGGAGGCTGAACCCCCGTGGCCCACATCACTGGGTTCCCTGTCTGGCTAGCTTCTTCTTGGGATCTGCAGGAGATGGGGGGCAAGAGGAGAGAAAGGGTGGAGTGTTTGTTCCCCGCTTCCTGCCTGTTCTGCAGAGGCTGAGCCCCTCCACTGCAGCCCCTTTCCTCTGGGCCCTGCAGGTCTAGACATGGCCAGGGCTTCCCTTTATTGCTAGTCCTGAGTGCTGGAATGTTCTGTGGTGGTTGCCTTCACCCCGTTCACATGGCTGTGAATAGCTCCTTCATAAAAGACCCTTCAGGCGAACCATCTGAGGGAGAATTTGTGGTTCTACAGAAGCTCAGAGATCAACAAAGGCCGTCAGTGACAACCGTGGACCAGGGCAGGAGCATAGGGCTTCTTTCTGCTGTTATGGAGTGGGGGAAGGTGACAGATCCTACAAGGAGCTGCCCTCACCTGCTGGTTACAATGACATTGTCTAGAGCACGCGTCGGCAAACTGCGGCTCCCGAGCCACATGCGGCTCCTTGGGCACGTTCTGTCTCAAAAGTTTGCCAACCCCTGGAAGAGCCAACCCTGTCCCTCACAACAATTTAAAAATTATTTGAGAGCCATAAATATATTTTTATATGATCACCATTATGTGAATAATATCCTGTAAAAATTTTATAAATGAAACTAAGATTGTTTTATTTTCATTTCCAATTTTACTTCAGAGCCACGTGTACGTACCCAAAGAGCCGCATGTGGCTCGCGAGCCGCAGTTTGCTGACCCCTGGCGGCTCTTCGGTCTCAAAAGTTTGCCGATCCCTGGTCTCGAGCCACAGACCGAACTCAAGGGGCAGAGTTAGTTGTCACCTTCTGTTTCCTATCAGGCAGGCATACTGGTGAAGGCCTGAGGCGAGCAGCATGGTGGACAGGATCACTCTGTCAGGGTGGAGCAGAGATGGTGCAGGAGGTGGAACGTGGAAGGGAGAAATGGGAGGCAGAGTGACAGACGGAGAGGTGGAGACCCTTCCTAGTGCCCCTCTGTTCCGAGTAACAATCTTTTTTTTTTAAGTCTAACTTTGTTTGAAAATAGTGCAGCCACTTCAGCTTTCTTATATTTATTGCTTGCCTTTTAAAAAAGATGATTTTATCACACATGCAGGCAGCCATAACAAATATATTCTTGGCTATGCATGTTTTTTGTTAAAGATTTTTTTGGGGGGAATTGGGGGATGGGAAAATCACTGGAGAATTGGGGGAAGGGGAACAGACAAGTTGCTGTCCTTTTGTTCTTCAGTCTAGTTGTGGAAGACGTTGCTTCACTAGCCCAAGTTGGCACCATCATTGCGCTCTTCCCGGGCGAGGCAGATCAGTCGCCGGCTTCTGGATGGCCGCTCACTGCGACTGTTGGCTGCTCACGCTGGCTGCTAGCTGTACACAGTAGCCTGTGGCAACCCGCTGCAGCCTATACAGTCGCCAGCGACTCATGGCAGCCCAGCTCCAGGTTGAGCTGTTGTTCAGCATCTTAGCTGTAGAGGGCAGTGTCACTGGCCCACATATGTGGGATCTGAACCGGAGCCCTCTGGCATCCCAAGCCAGCTCTTAACCAACGCGCCACTCGGCCGGTCCTTGGCTATGCATGTTTTGAGCTTTACAAAAATGGTGCCACACTGTAAATGTCATCTTCTTGGACTTGCTCTTTTCACTTGACATGCTATTTCTAAGACTCACCTATGTTGTTGTATGTAGCTATTGTTCATTTATGTTCATTGCTATATAATACTCCACGGTGTGACCCTATCATAATTTATTTCTCCATCCTTCTGTCAATGGATATTTGCATGTTTCCAGTGTTTTTCTACTACACATTTGTTGCTGCTATGAACATTCTGACCCATATCTCCTGATACAAGAGATTCTCTGTTCTCAAAGTGAGCAACAGGATCAACATTGGCTGGGAACTTGTTAGAAAGGCAAATTCTGGGGCCACACTCCAGACCCATTGAATCAGAAACTCTGGGGGTGGGGCCTAGCAATCTGTGTTTTCGCAAGCCCCCAGGCGATTCTGAGGACTGATAAAGTTTAAGGACCACTGCTCTCGGGTATAAATGAGGTGTGAGTTTTCTGGATTGCAGGCAACCAATCGTTTTTTTTTGTTTGTTTTTTTGTTTTTGTTTTTTAAAAGTTCTGTGTTTTTTTTTTAAGATTTTTTTGGGGGAACTGGGGGAGGGGAACAGTGTTGGGGAATTGGGGAAAGGGACCAGCCAAGTTGTTGTTCTTCAATCTTCGTTGTGAAGGGCGCCAGTCGCCATCTGGCTTCCCGTCCGCAGCTCGTGGCCTCTAAGCTCAAGGTGCTGTGTTACAATATTAGTTGTGGGTGGGCGTAGCCACCATCCCATGTGGGAGTCGAACCAGCAGCCTTGTTGTTAAGAGCGCACGCTCTATCCGCTGAGCCATCCGTGCGGAAGCTCAGCTCAAGGTGCCGAGTTCAGTCTTAGTTGCGGGTGGGTGTAGCCCACCATGGAACAGGCAATCTTGTTGTTACACCAGCTGAGCCATCCTGCCACCTGTTGGCAGCTCAGCGACAGCTCAGCTGGGGCGCAGCGTCACTGGCCCATGTGGGAATCGAACCGGCGGCCCTGTTGCTCAGAGCTCGCGTTCTTAAGTCAACTCTTAACCAACTGAGCCACTCAGCCGGCCCGGCAACCAATTGTCTTTCAAAGTGGTTGTTTTAGGTTACACCTCATTGGCAGTGTATATGAGTTCCCGCGGGTACACACCCTCCCAGCACTTAGAGTACTCAGATATCTCTCCTTTGCCCATCAAGTGGGTCTGCCTGAGTGGTCTGTACAGAGAGGCATGGATATGGCTGTTTCCCCTCCTTCCTGTCTCAGAACTACAGCCACATCACGCACATCGGCAGCTCAGCTGTCCTTGTGGATAAAAGCCTCTCTTCTTTGTGGGTTTGTTTTGACAGGAGTACATGCACCACCTACTCCGCCTGGAGCACCGCGCCGAGGAGCAGTTCATGGAGCACTGGCTGAACCCTCACTGCAAGCCCCACTGCGACAGGAACCTGGTCCATCCCGTGTAAGGGGCTTGGGACCAGCCTCTGGTATGTTCCTTCTCCCAGGCCTTCTGTTTTAGGGAGGCAGCAGTGGACAACACGTGTGTAGGCTCAGAGGCCTTTGAGAACATGGTGTTAGGGGCACCAGCCAGTTAGCTTGTTATGGGCTGAGCGGTGGAAAGAGCGAGGCAGGAGAGACAGGTGGCAGCCAGGTTGAGAGAAGCCCTGGAAGACACTCAAGGGAGCCTGACCTCTATTGTCTCACCAAGAGACCCCAAACAGCAGAGGGATGTGACCCTATTTGCTGTCCAGACAAGGTCATTCTGGAATACAAATCTGGAGCAGTGTGGCTTGTTTAGACTTGGGTCTCAAGGTGGAGTCAGCAGTCATGGGCTTGACCAGTGTGACGTTTATCACCATCATCACTACTGGCACCAGGAGTAGCAACTTCTTTACCGTCTTCCCACAGTCCTCCAGGCTGGGAATCTGCCAGGCTCACCCTGTCTTCCCTCTTCCTCTGGGTTTGGCCTTTTGGTCCCCCTGAAGTGGGCTGCTCAGGGTTCCTAGCGTGCCTGCATACCCCACCTCGGCACCTTGCTCCTACCGGAAGCTGTTTGCTTCTTTCCTGACCGTCTGTCTATGTCCATCTCCTTCCTCCTTTTCCAAATCCTATTAGATAAAGCAGCAAATCCCTTCAGAGGTTAAGCCTAGTGAATGTCATTTCACCTCCGTCATTTATACGATGAAGCAGGACAGGATGTAATTGGGCAGTTTGTCATCTCTGATTAAGAGAAATCTTATCGTTGTTGCTTATTTTGTATGCTACTGTGAATTAACATGGAAAGCTGTCTTTAGAGTCTTGCTCTTTATAACTATCACCTAAATCCTCTCTTTTGATCCTCTTAACACCCCTATGTCATGGCAGGGCATGCATTTTAACCCTGTTTTATCGAGGTGCTAAAGGAGCCCGATGAAGCTATTAACTCATGCTAAGCAGTGGTTGGTATGTCAGTCTCTGGCCACTCCAGTCCTGCATGCTTTTACATGGATGGTACTGCTGGGTCCTCTGTGTGTGTGTGTGTGTGTGTGTGTGTGTGTGTCCTCTGAGGGGCTTTAACAGATAATGAGAGGAGCATCTGTTGGGAGTGGAACAGAAGTTCTGTTTTTGAGGGGCAGGGGTTGGCTGTTCTGGTCCTTCCAGCCTCTGGAGCCCTGTTCTAGGTCAGAGCTTGTCCCGCCCCTGCATCAGGGATCTTTGTCCTCTAGCACTAGAAGCCCTCGCTTGGCTTCTTCCAGAGAACAAAACTGTGGAGTAGTTAGGAGCCCAGACTCTGGAATTTGGCAGGCTTGGGTTCAGCCGTGTTCCTGCTCTGTGGTCTTGGGAAAGTTGCCTAACCTCCAAGTTTCTGCATTTGTCAATTGGGGCAATAATGATATCTATGGAGCCTGACCCACAGTAAATGACTGCATGAATGGAGGCACTTATTACCAGTGTGCAGGCCAGGCAAGAGGAACGTTTTTGGGGTTGAGTGAGCCCCATGGCAGCACCTTCCAGGGCAACTGAGCCCCCTGCCTCGAGCTAGAATAGGCTTTGGGGATCAGCTGCGGGTGGGGGTGGGGGTGGGTCCTATAAAACACAAGATTCCTCAGAGGCCTCACTCCAAGCATCTCCATTTACATGAAGACAAGGAAGCAGTGGCTGGAGAGGCATCAGATTGGAATGTGGAGACAGACAACATTCAGACAGTGATTCCACTTGAGGAAAATTGCCCAATGTCTCTCTCAGTTTCCTTATCAAAATGAGGATAGTAAGAGTTCCTCCCTCATATGGTCGTTCTGAGCATTAAAAAAGTCAATGCATGGAAAACAGTGCTGCCCTGGTACATCATAGGAAGTGCTTAGGAAGTGACAGCTTGGTGGCGGTTTCCTCCCCCCACCCCCAGTCTCCTCTTTCTCCTCTCCTCCTTGTCACCGTCTCCCTCCTTCTTTATCCACATCACCATCATGGTAACACTATTTTCTCGTTCTTTTCCAGCAAGCACTTTGATAAGCATCGACCTGGATAACGCCAAAACAGGATGAGGCTCCTTCTGTCATTTACTGTTCAGCTGCGGGAATGGATGTCTTCAGACCTTGTGAACTGTGGCCATGGCAAGGGTTGCCTTGGGGATTGGTGGCAAATGCATGTGCTGCTTCATTTTACTAACCTGCATAACTCACCGAAACCAAGTGCTTAAAGCATAGACACCCCCTCCCCCCGCAAATAGCCACCCTAGCAGTTTGGAAGGATGGGCAGAGTGAGAATCTTACCTGGGCTGATGGAGCCGGTCCTCCAAAGCGTGGAAGCAGGCTGCCTGCTTTATCTAAGGACTCAGAATAGTGAAGCGCCATTTGGGGTGGTGGAGGTTTTGGGACACCTGTTTTTCCCTCTCCTTTTCTGCTCTAATAAATATAGGTGTTAAACCTGCTTTCCGTGGTGTCTCTTTTCCTTTCCTTCCAAGAAGACAGCAGAGATTTCCCTCCATTGTTTATCTATGTGAATCTAGCATCAGAAAGCACATTGTTCTTGGAATAAATGAATGGATGAAAATACAAACACCCAGCAATTTTTCACAAGAGCCATCTAATTTTTGGAGATTATTTGCCCCAGGCCAGCTCTGGATACAGCCATAAGTTGACACCAGGTACCCATCCTGGTCTTCTAGCCAAGGAGGTGTTTCTTGTGGAAAGTGGGTGGCAGCTCCTATATCCCAGGGCCCCTCACCTGCCCACAACCCCCAGTGTAAGAGACTGGACTATCCAAGACTAACAAAAACAGAAGCTGGAAGGACAACAGACAGCGGGCTGAATGGTCTTAGGGCGAACCTGACATCGTCAAAAACAGGTAAGGAGAAATGCCCATACACCCTAGGCAACAGAGGAGGGCCTGTCCCAAGGAAGCCTAGGAGGTCTTGCCCAGGAGAAAGTCACTGAACTTCTCAACATTGATGACTCCACCATTTATTTTCTGTGTGCATAGGGCCAAAGCCTGCACTAGGATTTTTACATACAGTAACTTTAATCATTGCACCTACTCTATGTAGTAGCTGTGGTCATTATTCCCACTTTATCAATGAGGAAACTGAGGTTTACAGACTTTAGAGAGTGTATTAGTTTTCTATCTCAGCTGTAACAAATTACCAGAAATGTAGTGGCTTCAAGCACCACGGATTTATTATCTTACACTCTACAGGTCAGAAGTCTAACACGAGTTGCACTGGGCTAAAATCAGGGTGTTGGCAGGGCTGCGTTCCCCTCTGGAAGTTCTAGGGGTGAATCTGTTTCCTTGCCTTTTCCAGCTTCTTGAGGCTGACTGAATTCCCAGCTCATGTTCCCCCTTCCTCCATCTTCAAAGCCAGCAATGACGGGTTGAGTCTTTCTCATGCCTTGTCATTCTGTCTCTTCTGCCTCCCTTGTCTCCTTTTATGAACCTTTATGATGACACTGGGTCCATTCAGATAACCCAGGACAATCTCCCTACCATAAAGTAGTAGTTAACAACTGTAATTCCCATTGCCATGTAAGATAACATAGGTCCCAGGGATTAGGATGCGGGTATCTTTTTTTTTTGCGGGGGGTGGGGGACGGACGGACAATATTCTGTCTACCACAGGCGGTTTGTTCCAGTTCGCACGGCCAGTGGTTGGAAGAGCTGGGATTTGAACCTAGGGTGTTCCTCATTGCTCTGCGCCCCCCAAAAGCTCTCTGCATCTGTGCCCTACACCTGAAGTCCATCTGCCTTGAATTAAGTGGTTTGTTCAACTGAGGTCCTTAAGGGCTCAGGATGTGTCCTTACTTGGACACCCTTGCACTGTCACCTGGCGGGGGTAGGGGGGGGGGCGCATCTGTTTAGTGCCAGACCCCTTGCAATACAGTTAAATTAAAATTGACAACTTGATTTTTGTGTGGTTCAGTTTTCAGATGGTTTAATAGACAACAGAGAACAGTTATTCTGAAAGGGTGTCTCCCACCTCCGCCCTGGGGCCAGCAGGACATGCAAATTCTCAAGCTCCACTTAGACCTTCTACATCAGAAACTCCGGGGTTGAGGCCCAGCAACCTGTGTTTTAGTGAGCCCTCCAGGTAATTCGGAGGCACTTGAGAGTTTTGAGAACCACTGGGCTAGAGCTTCCTGGAGCTTCTTGGTGTTGTGGATTGTGGTAAAAAACTCAAGACTGAGAGCTGGGAGGCCTGGGTGCCTGGGCTTTGGTCTACTTTACTCATTTCTCCAACAAATATGTTCTTCATGTCTACTGAGTGCCTTGTTCTGTTCTAGACCCTAAGGACCCAGAGATGAACAAGACAGACGAGGGTGATTTAAAATAAAACAATATAAAATTTATATAACAAAATTTTCCCTTTAAATTTTAAAATATAGAATTCAGTGGAATCCAGTACATCAATTTGATGCATAATGATATTTCAACGACAGAGTTCATATACCACAGTGGGCCCCTAAGATTACAATGGAGCTGAAAATTCCTGTGACCTAGTGATGTCATAGCTGTTGTAATGTCATAACGCAATGCAGTACTCACGTGTTTGTGGTGATGCTGGTGTAAACAAACCTGCGCTGCCAGTCGTATAAAAGTGTAGCAATACAATTTCAGTAGTAGGCTGTACCATCCAGGTTTGTGACAGTATGCTTTGCGATGTTCGCGCAACGATGAAATCGTCTCATGATGCATTTCTCAGAAGGCATTCTTGTTAAGTGGCACATGGCTGTACATTCACAATGCTGTGCAACCATCACCACTGTCTAGTTCCTGAACATTTATCACCCCCATAAGCAGCCATGCCTCATTTCTCCCTCCCTCCTGGCAACCACTAGTCTGTTTTCTGTTGCTATGGGTTTGCCTATTCTGGATAGTCATATAAATTGAATGACACAGTACGTGGCCTTTTGCATCCTGCTTCTTTCATTTAGCATGTTTTTAAGAGAGTCATCCATCTTGTAGCATGTATCGGTACATCATTCCTTTTTATGGCTGAATAATATTCCATTGTATGGCTAGACCATATTATGTTCATCCATTCATCAGTTGATGGACAGTTGCGTTCTTTCCATCTGTTGGCTATTGTGAATAATTCTGCTGTGAACGTTCGTGTACACATTTTTGTTTTAAGTCCCTGTTTTCAATTCCTGTGGATATATACCTAGAATTGCAGGGTCGAGTGGCAATTCTGTGTTTAACTTTTTGAGAAACCACCAAATGGTTTTCTACAGCGGCTGTACCATTTTACATCCCTACCAGCAATATGCACAGATGCTAAGCTCTCCATGTCCTTGCCAACACTTGCTATTTTTTGTTTTATTATCATTTTATTTTTTTCTTATAGCCAACCGAGTGGGCATGAAGGGGTATCTTATTGTGGTTTTGACTGCATTGACCTCAGGACTAACAATGTTGAGCATCTTTTCTTGTACTTATTGGCCATTTTATATCTCCTTTGGGGAAATGTCTAAGTCCTTTACTCGTTTAAAAATGCAATTGTCTTTTTGTTGTTGAAAGGCCAATGTGTCTGCAGTGGCTAAGAGCAGAGCTTATTGAGGGTGGAATTTTGGACAAGTTACTGAATCCTGCCTCAGTTTCCTCTTATATCAAATGAGGACAATAAGGTCAAATGACTCTTGGACCTTTACTTGGCAATAGGTAAGTTAGCGTTCTGTAATCGATAGCCCTTATTATACATGAGATGAGACTAACAATAGTAACTAAACAAGAAATCACCAGATTACTAACTGCTGGGAAGCAAATAAGACAGTGATGCAAGAGAGAGTAACTGGAAGGCTATTTTAGGTTGGGTGGACAAGGAAGGCTTTTCGGAGGAGGTGACACTTGAGCTGACACCGGAATGACAGGAAGGAGCCAATTGTGTGAAGATCCATGTACCGGAAGAGCATTCCAGGCTGAGGGAATAGCTCGAGCACCGGTCTTAAGACAGGAACAAGCCTGGCCAGTTCAAGGAACTGTTTGAGAGGACAGGGCTGCTGGGGTGGTGGCTGGGGCCCGGCTTTCCCTGTGTGGGGGACCTAGCTGGCAGTGACAGCATGAGAGGGTGTGAGCTTCGGAGTCAGGGAGCCTGGGTGTCCCAGTCGCTATGTATTAGCTGGGAAACTTGGGACAAGTTCCTTGGACAAATTAGCCTATTTGGAAAATCCCTCTGTTTCCTCATGGTAAAAGTGGGGCCGGTTACACCGACCTCATGGAGCTTTCTGAAGCTCAAATGAGATAAAGCACAGAGGGGGACACACGTTTTAGATGTATTCATCATAGGAGTGTGGCAGAGGGGATGTTTAATTACAGTTTAGCTCATTCTCTTGTATTGGCTAAAAACGAGTGTGAATGTGTTGGAAAATAATTTTACAGGGGTGTTAGTGGAGAATGTGACCTGTGCTTTTCTACCTCCACATTGGGGTTCATGTGGGCTCTCAGCTTCTCTCCCGCCTTCCCACCTTCCTGGAACCTTCCTTCAGGGTCCATTCCAGTTGGGCTTTTATTGAACACCTCCTGTGTGCCAGGCACGAGGCTCTGAAGGTGAATGGCATGATCTGTGACTTCAAGGAGCTTCACTACCACTTCCTCCACAAAGTTTTTTCCTTCTGTGGCAATTAGAATGGCTGCTCCCTCTCCTGCATCGCTGCAGAACTTTATCTCTGGGGGATGAAGGGTTATGGAGGAGAGTTTGGGTTTGGAATCCTGGAGAGAGTCCTGAAGAGTGCTCTGAAGCCAGACTGCCTGAGCTTAATGCTGGATCCACCACTCCCTAGTTACTCAACCTCTCTGTGCCTCGGCTTCCCCGTCTGTGAAATGGAAGTAATAGTACTACTTACCTCATAGGGTTGTAATGAGGATTCAATATAGGTCATTTTAATATAAGTAAAGTACTAGAAGAATGCCTGGTAGATAAGTGCTATGTAAATATTTGCTTATTAAAACAAATACATTCAATAAAAACATTAGCTTTGCTACCTGGACAAGCCGTTTGACACCCAGAGATTCAGTTTCCAAATCTCTGAACGTTGGGGCTATTTTGAGGCTCCAGTGTGATAGCGTGTGCACAGCACTTGGCATGAAGGGGGTAAAAAATCCCCCTTCCATAAAGCCAGATCCAAAAAGCCAGATCCCTTCCTCCTTTTCAGCTGTGTGTCTGTCCTCCTGGGACCCTGTCTGCCTCTTTCACAACTCCTCAAGACCAGACAAACAGGCCTTACCTGTAGGCCAGCACCCTGAAGGTTCTTAGGAGATTTATGCTCTGTGGAATTGGAAAAGGAGAGAAGAAATTGGACGCGGTGTGTGTGTGTGTGTGTGTGTGTGTGTGTGTGTGTGTGTGTGTGGCAGCCGGTGGAAGGTGGAAACATAGCACCCGCCACCACCCCCAGTCCACACAGAGCTGCTGCTACAAGGAAGGAGTGAATTTCTCCAGCC